AAAAAATTGACCCTTATGACTGGTTTTGTGCTCCTGGGTCACGTTTAGGTAAATGTGTCTGTCTCTTTAAGAGAAATTACACGAGAACCTACACGTCATGTACGTGCTCTGCTAAGCGCCTGAAAACTCGTACGTGATTGGTCCGGGCGTGTTCCGCTCGACGTGATTGGTCCGGGGAGTCACCTTGCTGTACGCAGCGCAGGAGTTCTCCAGAATCCCGAACCAGCACCGAGCCATGGCAGCCGCAGCGGACACGGCCAAGACCAGGCCCAAAACCTCGCCCAAATCGATTAAGTTCCTCTTCGGTGGCTTGGCTGGGTACGTACGCGCTCTGAGGCCCGGGCATCAGCTGAATGAGCGGGTATTGATGAGGGAGGGACATCAGCTAATGATCAGAGGATCAGCACAAAGCGTGTCTGGTTTCTCTCTCTCTCTCTGTGTGTGTGTGTGTGTGTGTGTGAGCGAGTTTGTGAGAGTGAGAGAGAGAGAGAGAGATAGTGTGTGTGTGTGTGAGAGAGAGATAGTGTGTGTGAGAGTGAGTGTGTAAGCAAGTTTGTGTTTGTGAGCGTGTGAGAGAGAGAGATAGTGTGTGTGTGTGAGCAAGTTTGTGTTTGTGAGCGTGAGAGAGAGCGATAGTGTGTGTGTGTGAGCGAGTTTGTGTTTGTGAGAGGGTGAGAGAGAGATAGTGTGTGAGAGAGCAAGTTTGTGTTTGTGAGCGTGAGAGAGAGCGATAGTGTGTGTGAGAGTGAGTGTGTGAGCAAGTTTGTGTTTGTGAGAGTGTGAGAGAGAGAGAGTGTGTGTGAGCGAGTTTGTGTTTGTGAGAGTGAGTGAGTGTGTGTGTGAGTGAGTGTGTGAGCAAGTTTGTGTTTGAGTGTGAGAGAGAGATAGTGTGTGTGAGCAAGTTTGTGTTTGTGAGAGTGTGAGAGTGAGAGAGAGTGTGTGTGAGCGAGTTTGTGTTTGTGAGTGAGTGAGTGAGTGTGTGTGAGCGTGCGAGTGAGTGAGAGAGAGTGTGTGTGAGTGAGTGAGTAGAGTGTGAGAGAGAGAGTGTGAGTGTTCTTTACTGCTTCTGTCAGGTGTGGTGCTGTGAGGGAGCTTGGTTGACAATCTGCTCTTCAGTGTAATGTCACAGAGCTTGTGTTTGATCTGCAGGCGCTGAGGAAGTTTTGTGCTACTTTTCAAGTGGCTATAATATTCAGGATTTTTTAAAGTCATGCCTTAGACCGTTACATGTGACATTTCTGTTCTTAAAATAATCATACAGATATAAATAAAAAATGTGTGACGTGACATGTGGCTAAGTATGGTGACCCATACTCGGAATTAGTGCTCTGCATTTCCCCATCCAAAGTGCCCACACCCCCTGTGAACCCACACACACCGTGAACACACACCCGGAGCAGTGGGCAGCCATTTATGCTGCGGCGCCCGGGGAGCAGTTGGGGGTTCGGTGCCTTGCTCAAGGGCTCAGTCGTGGTATTGAAGGTGGAAGAGAGCGCTGTACATTCACTCACCCACCTACAATCCCTGCCGGTACGAGACTCAAACCCACAACCTTTGGGTTATGAGTCCAACTCTAAGCATTAGGCCACGACTTCTGTCCTCTGTAGAGGTCATTATATTTGAGTGATTCCTCTGAGACCCTTCACGCCACAGTTTTAGTCTGGATGTCCTGTTCAGAGCACTTTTTTAGGAGGTTTGATCATAAACACTCCCTCTCTTTGGTCATTAAATATGAGTGATATTGACAGAACGCTCAGATTTAGCACTCTTAGGGAAACGTGATAATGTTTTGTAATTATTATCATTTAAATCTGGCTGATTTTTAAACTGTTTGTCATAAATCAACATCTCAGGGAAATGTTATGGGGTTTTAAATCAGAATATGAATTTCTGAATTGTCTTCTGTAGAGGACACCAGGACAAACGGCTGTTAATCAGGCATTTTGAGGAAACACAACAATATATCATAGATCAATATTCCTATGAAATATGAGATATTCTTATGAAAATGTTGCCACGTTATTACTCCCATTGTTGCACTTCTTTTTTCATTACGCTTTGTCCCAAGAACACATTAATATGCAAATTAGATGCAGAGATGCATTTAATAAAATGGGAATATCAATTTATGGAGATTTTACGCACATACTCCATAAAGTACGGTAGCATATCAGATCTTTCTGTTATATCTTTCATAACACAGTTGAGAATCATCTTTGTACAAAGTATGGCTAAACACAGCCTGAAACCTAAAAATGTATTGATTAAAAAAAATAATAATTCAGTTGTTTATGCCTATTCATGTCTTTTAAATTTATTTTTTTAATTGAGTCCTGGTGTCCTCTACAGTGCACATAGCATAACATATGAATAAAATACAAATTTTCAAAATTGTTATTTACATTTTTTTTCTCGTGCTCTAAGACAATGTAATGACACATAAATTCACAAAACTTTTTTTTTTCTGAGTCTGTATATATATATATATATATATACTTTTTTTTGTGTGTTTTTATTTTTCAGTGACAGGTTCAGTGAAGAGCATGCTGAGATGAAATATATGTAATAATAATAAAAATAAAATGAACAAGAAATTGAAGGTTTATATCACTTGTGAACACATTTTCAACTTTTTTTGGAGTCAAATTATCTAAAAAAAAAAAAAATTTAAATCACAGACTATGTTGTTGATGCAGTTCCACTATAATAAATATCATAAATATAGCACTTTTACATATTACATAAACATACCATTTTACACTTTTTACTGTACTGTACTTCGTGTGATTAACATTTAATCACATTTGCGATGGGGTTTCTAATATAGAGTGGCAATACATTTGAGATCTTTCTCTCTTCTGACTTCTGTAATCAGCTTTTCTTGATCTTTCTATAAGTGACGCAAACACAATAGTGGGTTGTTCTTGTGCTTTTGGAGTGAATGGTCTCCCATTCACCACTACAGAAGTTTTCTAGGATGACTTGTGCTTCTGAGAAGCCTGGAAATGTGAAAACAAAAAATGACAGAATTAAAAAAAAAAACGTATACTAATAATTCTGAGAAATGTAAGACAGCACTCAAGACCTGTAAATCAGTGCTGTTTCATAAACAGGTTGTCCTTGCGTGTAGATGTTAAAGGCATAATACCCTTACATGAGTTTAAATTGAGCCAAAGCCACCATAAATGCACTAGTTCAGGAGGGGATTCATTTGTGTTCCTCAGTCAAAACATTCTCAAAGGATGTTTGCAGCAACCCTGCTGAATATCATAATACATTCCAGTCATTATCTGGAAATAGATGGGATTAAATAAGTATTCTAGTTACGGTCATACTGGATAAACTGACATTCCTACAGGATTTTGTGACTCGTTCTTATGTTTTCAACTTTTTGTGATGCTTCTGAAAGTTTATGATAGGGACGTTTTATGATGTTGTGAATAAAGATTATTGGAGTGCGATGTACAAGAAGATACTATCACAGTCTTTCAACTTCAGAGTTTCTCATTTAAGTCAATGTGTTGCTTGGCCAAGGGTCAATTTTTCACAATTGAGATGTATGCATCATCTGAAAGCTGAATAAATAAGCTTTCCATTGATGTATGGTTTGTTAGTATTTATTTATTACAATAATAATGAATTGCCGCAATGTATTTACTTAAATATTATTATATGTGACCCTGGAGCACAAAACCAGTCATAAGGTTACATTTTTTGAAATTGAGAATTATGCATATTTCCATTGATGTATGGTTTGTTAGGATCGGACAATATTTGGCTGAGATACAACTATTTGAAAATCTGGAATCTGAGGATGCAAAAAAATCTAAATATTGAGAAAATCATCTTTAAAGTTGTTCAAATGAAGTTCTTAGCAATGCATATTACTAATCAAACATTAAGTTTTGATATATTTACGGTAGGAAATTTACTAAATATCTTCATGGAACATGATCTTTACTTAATATCCTAATGATTTTTGGCATAAAAGAGAAATGTATAATTGTGACCCATACAATGTATTGTTGGCTATTGCTACAAATATCCCCCAGCGACTCAACACTGCTTTTGTGCTCCAGGCTCACAAATGTGATAGAGTGTTTTTTTTTTAAATTTGTGTAGGTTTCTTTAGGATTGTTTCCAAACTCTGCTGCTAATACGAATTCCTTCAGGACTAGGACTTTAAAGTAAAAAGTGATTAAGCTGATGCGCATTCGTCCTGACTTCCAGGATGGGTGCCACGGTGTTTGTGCAGCCGCTGGATCTGGTGAAGAACCGAATGCAGCTGAGCGGTCAGGGCTCCAAGGCTCGCGAGTACAAGACCAGCTTCCATGCCGTGGCCAGCATCCTTCGCAACGAGGGCATCGGCGGGATCTACACCGGGTACGAAAGACATGCTCAACGAGACGCAAGCCAACAAGAGAGATTAGATGGAGAGCTTAGAGGTTTCAGAAGGCTACTGCAGTTCAATGAATTACTGAATGAATGCTTTTTTTGTTTTTCTAAGATTGATTGTACCAGACACTGGATGTGAGAGACTAGGGAGCTCTAGCTGGACTTCCTTACTGAGTGACTGTAGATGGAGCCAAGCAGTAAATATCTGATTAAACATCTCATTCTTGTCTCGCTGCGCGTTTATTGCATTCACGCCTCCGTCTTTTTCTGTCCCGTGTTCTTCAGACTTTCTGCGGGTCTGTTGAGACAGGCTACCTACACCACGACCCGTTTGGGCATCTACACCGTCCTGTTTGAGCGCATGTCCAAAGCTGATGGCACACCTCCCAACTTCTTCATGAAGGCTCTCATCGGGATGACCGCCGGAGCCACAGGGGCCTTCATTGGGACTCCGGCCGAGGTGGCGCTTATTCGAATGACGGCTGATGGGAGGTAGAAGAATAGAATTACACCCCATATTATGACCCTGGAGCACAAAACCAGTCATAAGGGTCAAATTTATGAAATTGAGATATATACAGCATAAATAAACGAGCTTTCCATTGATGTATGGTTTGTTAGGATCGGACAATATTTGGCTGAGATACAACTATTTGAAAATCTGGAATCTGAGGGTGCAAAACAATCAAACATTAAGTTTTGATATATTTACGGTAGGAGATTTACAAAATATCTTCATGGAACATGATCTTTACTTAATATCCTAATGATTTTTGTCATAAAAGACCCATACACTGTATTGTTGGCTATTGCTACAAATATCCCCCAACGACTCAACACTGCTTTTGTGCTGCAGGCTCACATTTGACTTTCTCACACATTGTTTCCCGAAAGTGACCAAATTAACCAAACACTGCTGCTTCAGGACAGTCATGGGATAATTCTGAAGACGTGTCCTTTTAGACTCGTGAAACACTAGGTTTTTGTGTTGCGATCTTACGAAGAAGTTCCGTTAAAATCAACGAATCTCTCTACACTGCGAAATGAATCTCTTGTTTACATCGTGTTTACACTTTGTTTGTTGTAATAAGAGGATTCGCGAGTGCGCAGAACTCGGCACTGCACAACATCAGAGGCATTTTGAGCGGTGATTTTCCACTGCATTCATGAAATTAAACGGATATGTCTGTGAACGCTTACATTTATTACTCAAATAAAAAATGACCATCATGACTATTTCATGCACTGGTTACTTATCTGTCATAAAAGCGCTTGAATATTATATTTAAAGCAGATGTAACCTCCCCCCGTCCCCACCTCTTTTTAAGACAAACTTACGCCACTGAAGGTAGTTGTTAAGTTTAGGTATGGGTCGGATTAATGGATCTAAAATATGCTCCTGCAGAATAAGGCTTTAATATGTGCTTTATAAGTACTAAAAACAGCCAGTATTCTAGTAATATGCATAAATATGCTAGTAATGTTATGAATAACATTCAAATTAAAAAATATATATATTGTTTTTGGTAAATAAAACTATTAAAAATTGGTTTGTTAATTGAAATCTAAAATTAAACATAAATATTAGATAAAAATACAAAAACTTTTACATTTTTTCTTACTACCGTTTTAATTTAAAGTACTGAATTACTAAAACTAAACCTGAAATTAAAAGTAAATTAAAGCTAAATAGAAATATGAAAAAACTAATAGCACATAACAAAATTACATAAACTAAAATTAAAATGAATACATTTTTATTTTTAAATTTCAATTTAAAACATTATTTAAATTATACAAAAATAACACTTTTTAATATTTGATTGTGTTAAAATATTAAAATCTTCATGATCATCATCATCTTGTTTCGCTGTTAAAATAATGAAACAATTAATAAAATATCGCTCCTCCTCCGTTATCTCTTGCTTGTCCAGGTTGCCTCCAGATCAAAGGAGGGGCTACACAAATGTCTTCAATGCCCTCATCAGAATCACTAGAGAGGAGGGAGTCACCACACTCTGGAGGGTACGTGTGTGTGTGTGTGTGTGTGTGTGTGAGAGTGAGTGAGTGAGTGTGTGTGTGTGTGTGTGTGTGTGTGT